AATGATTTAAAATTAAGAGATTCCGTATCCCCGTATTCATATACGACATTTATATTTTTTTTACCGTTCAAATTAAAATGAATTATTAATTGCTTATTTAAAAAAATATATATGTAATAATATTTGAATAAACAGTCAATTGTTATTTTTCAAGTAGTAATTTTATATTTTGTGTGAAAAATATCAAATTTGAACATTCAAGTAAAAATTCCAAACATAGAATAAAGTAGCATTGCTACATTTTTCCCCTACTAAATAGTTGATGGCATATTTAGAAATATTTTGGTAAAATATCTTGTATAATTTATTTTAAGCATGGATAAATGATTTAAAATGATAATTATAATTTATTGTAGGACTAAGACCTTATTAGCTTTTGCCATTTTTCCACGCTTCCTTTTATAGCCCATTTGGGATTTGATCGCTTTAGGATCAAAATTATATATATATATTTTTAATTGGGTACACCAACAAGAGCTGGCCATTCAGTCTTCGTGATGATTTCATTCACGTTGTATGTATCTTTCTAAAATTGATAAAAATCAATTCATGGCTTGAAATTCTTCAGTTTAAATATGCTTCATATACATATTAAATATAAAAGGAAGAATAGGGTTATAAATACGGTACTTAATGATATATTATATCTGGAAAGCAAATTTTTAATAATAATCATGTTTTTATTAGTTAATTAAATGCCTAAGTTATTTTTATTTAACGTCGAAAACACGTTAATATATTATTCTTCAGAGAATTCGTTAAATTTCAAATTTCAACAAAATTTATATGGGAGCATTTCCAAAATATTTTACAACATAATAATGACGAAGAAAAGGCTTTAAATTTCAAAAATAAGACAAAGATGTTTATAAAAAATATTATAGAATATATAGAAAAACGGTATGATAATATAGATAATATAGGGAAATATCTTAGCCCTATGAAATTAAAAAAATGTCCAGCATTTTAACAATTTCAAAAATTATTATTAATTATAAAATATCAAATATAGATACAGATATTCTCTTTGAAAAATATTCACATTTCTATTCCTATTATGAAAATCAATTGAAAAAAGATCTGAATGCGCAAGAAAAATAAATGGATTTCCTTTCTAATAAAAACTCACCTTTGATAGAGAAAATATGCAATTTTCTTTTTCTATTCCTCATTCAAATGCGTCATCAGAGAGAATATTCAGTCTAATGACTACTGCTTGGCGATTAAATTAAAAAAAAAATATAGGAATTGGATTTATAAATAAAAAATTTGCAATAAATTGTTTAAATTTTTAATATATAAATTATATTTTTATTAGTTAGTAAATAATTCCTTATTTTTAAATTTAAGGTCGAAAACATATTAAAAAAAATGAAGATTTATTTGGTTGAATCAGGATTTTTGATCAAATTTTTCCCAAAGTTCGAAAAGATTTTTGTAAAAAATATTTATAAATAAAAATCTGGTATGATTTTCATGGATAAATTGTTAAGCGTTTCAAGAATAGAATATAGGAATTTATTTATCTTTTTATCAAATCAGAAATTTAACAATTGTTCGCTTTCTATAATCGTTTATATATATATGTTTGAAAAACAATTCAGATTAATACAAAATCATAACTTTAAGCATATAAAAATAACAAAATCAATTTATACAAACAAACTAATCATTAAAAGTATATTAATAATAACCATTGAAATAAATATAAGTATTAAAGATAATGGTGAAATAAATAATAACAATGGCTTTACTAAGTATCATGTTGAACACCTCAACGTAAAGAATTTTTCATCACATTTGCTTTGGGTATTAATTACCTTAGATCCATTCCAGATTAACACAGCACATAACACAACCTCACTCCAACTATATATTATCATTTGACATAGAAATTTTTTTTTTAAATCTAAAAATATAATAATTTAGTTTTAGAATTCCCTGGCCCGGGTTTTATAATTTTTGGACCGTTTCTGTTTTAAGAAAACTGAACCAGGCCTAGGCTGATAAGAAATAATTTACTTTAGACCCGGGATTTTATTCTAAAACAAAAATTAAACCGAATTTTGGTCTGGGCCACATTTTAACAATCTACTGTAGTTTTTTTTAAAAACATTTGTGCATTTAAAACATTATTTTGATTAATGTAAAACTGAACCAAGTGAAAATTTAGCAATTTGTTAAACAACTACTATTTTTTTTTTAAAATACAATAAGACTCAATATAAATAGATGGAATAATGCTATAATTTTCGATATACTATCATACATCCTACACACACAACCACCTAATTAGCCTCATAAAAAAACTCAATCTTGCTTAAATCGATCCCAAATATACATATATGTATATATATGGTAAGGGACATATGTATTACTAGGCCAAAAGAGCTTACTGAAACCTACAATTATATATATATTATAACCATAAATTTTTTTGGCACAAACTAGTTAAAGTACTAACGATTAAATAAAAAGAAAACTATGAGGAATTGCCTGAATACGTCAGGGCATGTAGGTCTTTTTGATGTATATAGACTTACAAAATTTTAATAAAAAAAATATGGTGTATAAAAAGAATGGAATTGCACGAAAATATTAATTAAAAAGCATATTACAAATTTATTATATGAAATTCAATCTTCTTTGGGATTAAGCTAATTTTTCAATGATTTCATTTGTGCTTCCTGTCAAATCCTGTATATTAAGAAAAGCTAACTCATTTAATCTATTATCAGAGGTAGTAATTCTCATGTATGTTTTTTTTATCTTTCTTAAATAAGAAAATTAATTGGTAAAAGTATTAATGGGGTAATAGTAGCCAAAATATAATAATGTTAAGAGGTATTGGTAAAAGAGTCAATAATTTGTTTGAAATTATGCAAAAGCATTCATATCATTTTTTGGATTATTATCAAACTATAGTTATTAACTTTTACACTATAGTTTCCTTTCAGCTAGTAAAGCATTATAGGATACTTCATCCTTGCAATATCTGCCAATTTAATTTTTTATTCTGCCAAGATTTTGAAATAGTTTCGGAAAGATTCTGCGGTAATGATATATGCAGATTTGTAAGTGCTGCCCGATGGATTAGGAACCTTTCTTATTTACACGAGAGGGATAAAGATATTTACTTTATAGTGTTCTTCTACTGACTTTACATTAAAATGGGAACGATGGGCCTGTCTTGGTGCTAGTCGAGGTAGATAAATATTCATAAAGCTATGTTTTTGACTCAACGATGACATATAATTTATGAAATTCGTCTTGCACTACTAATTTCCTTACTTATAGTCTCATTTAAATATCAATGTCAATCGAATAACTAACCGAATATTGAATAATTTTTGATAGGCTTATTCGGAATATCTCAATTTTAAACAAAATTTACTAAGGATAATATAATTAATTTTAAAATTTTTTTTTTATTTTACTGGAAATGAATTCCAGCATATTTTAAAAAACGGCTAATATTTTATCCAGAAAAATATTACGCAAACCCTAAAGATTCTGCTTTTAGATGGTACAACGGTTGGACATCTATTATTGAAATCATGAGGTTTATGCAATATTTTTCTGGTTAAAATATTGAGTTAGCAGTTTTTAAAAAATCGACTCAAACCGAACCATTTAGCAACCACTATATAGAGTAAATCTATCTTATTAATCTCAGATAATTTCGCCTTATATATAAAAATTTTAATTTATTCAAAAATTAAAGGGCAAATTTTTTTGGAATTTGCAGGGTAGTAGATATTCTCTAGTACATGCTGGAATTATTATAAAAATTTTTAAATATAAAAATCTCCCTTAATGAATTCATAACCACAGGAAGATTTGGGATTAATTCTTAATTCCAAATTAACTTAACTCATTTAATAATAATATAAAATATTTATTTGCTTTACATTCGATTTAGGTAGGTCTTCAAATGGCAAAATTTTTTATGATTTTTTTATCGTAGGATAAGGAAATCGTATTTATGAATAAACTGATTATAGTACGTCATTTAATCCTTAAAATTATAAGCAAAGATATAATGTATTTAATTTAACAAAATTACTTATAATAATTTTTTTATCTATTCCTTATTAAGCGCGTCAGCCAATTTCTACTATTTGTTCGCCCGGATCGTTATTTTTTTTAAGGCCCTGCTCAAATAAAAAAATTTTTCAAGCGTTGCCCGATCTAGCCAAGGATTTATATCAAGTCCGCTTTATAGTAAACGCCTTTTGTTCAAGCGTTGCCTTATTTAACGCAGTGTTATTACAAAATAAAGCCAATAAATATGTATAGATTTATAAATATGAAGCGTTATGATAACTCTATGATAAAATTTGAAAAACATATGTTGGCGTTGATAAAAAACATGTGATACGATTATAAAAATAATAGCGAATTCTATAAAAATGTAGATGAATCACTATTTTAATTTTATCTTAAATTAATTTTTAAAACTGAATCAGATGTAATAACGCCACGAGCGTTTACTATAAATTCAGCGTAATTTAGATTATTTTTCTTTTATTTTAACTTTTAGTTTATAAATAAGACTTTTTAAACAGATACATTTCAATTTTTCATTATAAACTGAACCGCAAATTATTAATCATTTAAATAAATAATCATATACGAAGGGAGATAGTATCATTATATATCTATATAAAATATTACCTTGATAACGTTTGCAAAATAAATGTTATTGGATGATATTCTTACATTTATCTTACATTTTTAATACCTTTATTATATAATATTCAAAATAATAATACTACCAAAGTTTTGATTTAATTTTAAATATACCTTTTTAAAAAAATACTTTTTTTAGAGGATAAATAAGAAAGAGTAAATTTTTAAAAACCTCTAAAAAAAAATATTAAAATTCTATTTACAACCAAATGTTTAAATTTACCTTTAAAGGCATACGTAGTATTTTTTTTTTAAAAAAATATTAAAATATTATTATTTGCATTTATAATGCCATTAATATTTAAAAATAAATATTCACGAATAATGAAAAATTTTATTGATACGAAGAACGCAGATTCTGAAATTCTTATAAAAACACAACTACATACAGTAAAGTAAATTAAAATATTTATTTAAAAATATATATAGGTTATTGGTTGATTTGATGTTAATTTGTTGATAAATCACGAAATTATTAATTTTTTTTTTTTAAAAACAAAAAGGTACATTTAAACTCTTCTTTAAAACCCAGGAATTAGATATCTAATATTAATTATTTGATTTCTTTTCAGAGATTGTCTAGATCTATAGGTCCAAAAATTATGATATGTGATTTTTTTAAATATAAAATTTAACATTTTGATCAATCATTGCAAAATAAAATTTTTCTAGTTAGTTTTTGTAATGAAATAAATTTAAATGAAATTGATTTAAATATTATATTTGAAAATGCAAAATAAATTTATATCTAAATATATCTAATACAGATTAAATAGTATATAGATACAAATACTGATACTTTTATAAAAATATAACTAGGTAGAGATCCCACATCTTTGTATCGAAATACTTTAACAACTGAAAAATTGCAAAAAAAATGAAAAATTATCGTTTATTAATAACAATTCATAAGTATATCCAGGATTTTCCTATGGGGGGGCACTATAGGGCCACATTTTCCGACATAAATTGTATTGGAAGTCTTTAGGTCCACTTATTGTGGCCATTTGACTATATTATATTTTTATAAAAATAATTTTGGGTTAAATTTTGAATTATAGTCGTTATTTTAAAAGGTTATTGAAATTTACTAATAAATTATTTTTTATGGTGATATATTGTATACATTTTTGAGGAATAGGAATGATGGGGTGGGGGTAAAGAAGGGGGGTGTAGGGGAAATTTTTTATTTAAAAATGATATTTATAACCCCATCCCCCCTCCCTTGATTACACCCCTTTAATAATCCTCTTATACCATCGTCTGATAAATTTATTCTTTTAGAATAGAATCAGATTATAAAATTGGGGGTATAAAGTATGCAGGGTATACTGTAATTCAAAATATGCTGGAATCTTTGATATTTTAATTTTTTATAGCGTAAATTTTTTAAAGACTTGATATTGCCAGAATTATTATTTCGCAGTAGGTATTAGGGGAGACCGGGAATAATGTTATCACTGGATGGGTTCTGAAATAATTTTATAACTAATTAACTTTGATATTTGAAATTTAAACCATAAATGTATTTTAATAAGATGCCTCAATGATTCTAATAAAATTTCCAAGAAATACGCTCACGAAAAGTTTTAAATTCAAATTTAAGTTTTAAACCGTCAAAAGTAAATTTATTAATTTTTTACATTTTCATTTACTAATAAATCTTTGTTATAAAATTTACTCAGAGTAAATATTAGTTCTAAATGCTAAAATAATCTTTTCGAGTATGAAAATAATCCCTTTTCCCCCTGGTTACGCGCCTGGTTGGATATCACAATGTAATCTTACAAATAAAGTATCATTCTAAATTATATTTTATCATTTTGATTGTGGATACATAATAAAACGAACACTTTTATCATTAAAAAAAATGCATTTTACAGAAAAAGTATATAGGCCGTGGCCTGGGTCGGCATAATTTTGATACTTAATCATTTTTAGTATAGGCCAAAAGAACACCCTATTTTGTACTTTAAATAGATGGTGGCATGGTTATTTTTCATATTTTATTTTTTTCGTTTTTTTTTGAATAAGTCGACCTCTGACACGACCATTGAACTATAATTAATACTCAGTCGACGATATATTATTTCCCAATTTTTTTTTATAAAAACTATTTAATTGATATAATTTTTATTTATTTTTCGAAAATAGGGCCGGAAGGAAAAAATATTTTTTATGCCCAAACCCTAGTTATTTAAGCCAGAACCCCTATTTTTAACATTATATTTCCATTTAAGACCACGCTTCGGGCAAGTTCTGTATGCCTGCTATTGAAGGGTCTAGAAATGTTTAAAGGCACGATTTGAGCCGATTTTTAAAAATGGCTAACATTAGCCTGAAGATTTTGCTCATACGTACAAAGGTCTGGACACCTATTAGATAAATCTCGTCGTCAATATTTATCTGGCTAAAATATTGAGTTATCCCTTCTCAACATAATAAATGTTAATTGTGTATAGCTATAATTATTTAACTATAACATGTTTAATAAATCATAAATAGGTTTATTTTTACCAATATTTCAGGAACATTCTAGAACAAAACACCATTTCTTCCATTTTCGTTTCCATAAATTTCGATATTCCATTTCAGCTTTTCCTTATTTTCTCATTTATATCTTGTTGAAAGGTATAAAATAAAGGTGGGGAAGGGTGGGGGCGGGTGGGATAGAATCCAATTAATTTTAATTTTTTATTTTAACAAATAAAGATGTAAATCCCTTTTATTATACTTACATAATTTTTTTTTTATGAAATCATGTTAAATATAATTTTCCTTGGCCTGATTTCTTATTTATTTTTATCAATTTTATACAAACGATTATTTTCTTTTTTAAAAAATAAAATGTTTTCTCCTCTGTTATTTTATAAATAATACTTAAATACTATGTGGTAGTATTGATGTGAAACAACGAATTAAGAGTTGTTCTTTGGGGATTTAAAGAGAAAAAAGAGGGAATGAATTAAAAATATAAGAAAATTTGACATTTAATAAAAAACAAAATTACTGAGGAAAAGTGAGCCACTTTTTAAATAAATTAAACTTTTACCCATTTCATATATAATCTATAAAAATATTAAGGTATTAAGTGTTGTTAAATGGCCCGAATTTGGATTCTTTTTAAAAAAACGGCCCAAAGATTATAGCAAAATAATATTATGTGAGACTCGAGATGCAAATGGAGGTCCAAACCTTTCTGCTTATGAACCTAATTTCCAGGTTTTCATAATATTATTTTGGCTAAAATAATTACCGGGTCGTTTTTAAAAATCGACCGATATCGGGTTATTTCTTCCTGTGTTGATAATTCTTTTAAACATTTAATACATTCACAAACATATTTAAAAATATATATATGACACGGACTTTATTGGTTATTTAAATGTATTTTTTAATACGTTATTTGATAACGTCGTAAATTCTTCTTTACAAAAAAATCATTGTTTAGAATAGTAGGTGTGATTCAGAGAATAAATACTTTAACTGAGAAACGGCACCATATACTGGTTCCATCTCAGCTTGGAATAATTTTTTTAAAGTTTAGGGCTAGGATTAAAGGAAATTTATGCATTCTCTCTTTTATTTGTCCATTCATCGCTAATGAAGGTCAAATTTTTATTTTTATTTAATCTTTCGGTTATCATATCTTTAATCCGTTCATTTCACTGTTAAAATTTTTTTTCCTGATTAAAATGAAGGCATTTTAAATGAAGGTATTAAAGATTCAATTAATTTCTTCCAATACAAATATTGAGTTATGGAAAATGGATAATTTGGCATAAAGATCGCTGTTGCAAATTCAATATCTAGTTTGTTTAGCTTTTTAGAAAGTACACTAATAATATATTTCATTAAATTGTTTTGTCCGCAAAGTACTGTTTTTGGGATATTTGCTTATAAACAAAAGATTATGATTTATGAACCACGAATCTTTTTTTTTGTAAAATATGATAAAAATCCTTATTTGTGTTATTAAAAAACACAAATCCTAAAATGTTTGCCAAAGATTAGCGCCATATTTGAAAGCTGATTTTACAATCAAACCAGCTCAATTGCCTCGTTAAGGAGAGGCACGAACATGTTCGGAATGCCTAAATTTAATGAACACAGCACACCGTGATAAAAAAAAGAATGAACTTTTTACCGTGCTTATAATATTATTATGGCGTGACTCGCCTTTGTGTAGTTTTCGGTATTTTTTTGTGGGTAAATGCAAGAGAATTTAACAGGAATGATTGAGAAAGTCTTTCGCCGAATGAATTATAAATCGCATTTTGGAACAACTTAATGATTTAAAGATTAATTCATCTAATATAATAAGCCAGGAGAATGGTGCTCTGTCTGGTTGAAATAGAAAGATATGCAAACTTTGCTCCAAAATAAATTAATAAAAAAGTGCCATATATACTTTGTTTCAATCACAAGTTGCATCTAGTTGTTAATAAGTGTTATAACAATATTTCGGTAATTTTTCAATTTGGCAAAAAATTGTACAATTTAGGATTTTAAAGCATCCTATAAATATATAGGCCATACTCTTAAAAGACCCTTAGATCAGAGGTTGCCTCCAATACGTTCTTATTAAACTTTAATATTGAAACATTACAATGCGATGAAAATCGCATAGGATATTAGCGGCTCGAAAATATGTAAATGCTATTCAGTAGCTATTATCATTAGGGTATCAACAGCTTCTTGTGAGGCCTCATTCTATACCGTCAAGATGATTTGATCGAGCATCAAAGAAATCGATGAAAGATACACGAAAATAAAATTTAGTTCTAATGGTTTACTGTAAAGAGTAACCCAAAATTTAGCTTTTAATTTATTTATGTTAAAATTTTAAAAATAAAAATTCTCCGTATTATATATTATTTTGTATATTCATAATTATTTGTGTTTAAAAATTTTCAATAAAAAATGGCAAAAAACTTTCGATGAGTGTCTGACTATTTGTTTTATTTCAAAAAAAAATATTGCTCTCCTCCAACTTAAAATTCTTTGCTACGGGCTTGTATAGTTTGATAACGTTATCTTAAATTTTCAAGAGTTTTTATTGAAACTAATGTTATTATAGTTTAAAAAAAAATTACTTAGGGGTAGAGGCACTTAATTGATGATTGATTTTATACACAATTGGAAATTGATAATATTGTACCTTTTCTTCTCATTAGCGAGGTTCATTATTTAAATTAAATCGATAAGAATTATGCAGACAAAATAGATTTTTGAACCATTATATAAAATAGAATTTATAACTATTTAATTATTATATTTTAGAAAATGATGACGCTTATTAATAATAATCATTTAACAATATTAATGCTTAATTATTTATGCATATTTATATTTTTATTAATATATGATAAAAAAAATTTTTATTAACTTTTTATTTCATTTACAATATAAAAAAACAAATAATTTCTATTCTTTTTTTGTGATATTTTCTCATAATATTTTTAAAATTTATTATTTATTGATTTAAAAAAATTTCTAAAAGAAAAAAAACGATAGTAGAAAAAGATTGAATTATCCCCTTAAAAAAAATAGAAAATAAAAGCATTATCTTTATTAACCAAAATAATTGTAATCTTCATGCCTAACTGAAAACATATTTATTTATTTTTCTGAATTGGCAATTTCCTATATTAAATATTATAAATGATTTAGTTTTTTTTTAAAAAAATTCTATTTTATAATTAAATTACATTATAATAATTCGCAATAGAAAAAATTAGATTAAAATAATATAGAAAATAAATTTTTATGAATTTCTTCATTTTTAGAATTTAGAAGAAGATGACTATTATACTATCAAATTGAACAAAAAAAAATTTTTTTTTTGATTTTTAGAAACTTATCATCGTAAATTTAAACAAATTCTTTGGAAACCATGTCTTCTAAATATTCGTCGAAAGTAAAACTAAATTTTTTTTTCCACTTATTTTAAATGTTTCTATGGATTATAGATTTTATTTAAGTGTGAGCTAATATGTTTGTTTTATTTACCCTTAATTAATTTAGTTTGAAAAATATGGTTACAGTTTCTATTATAAATGATGTAATTATAATTAATAACTTCTTATCGTTACTTTTTAAGACTTCATTTTTAGAAATTTAGAGTTTTTGCTTTTGCCTGGTCCGTTATCACTAAGGAGGGGTTATTGGGAGCTCGAACCCCATCAAAATTCGTAGAGACCACTTCCTTCCCCAATTAGTTCCACATAAATTTTTTAAAAAATATTGGATTTAATTATTATTTTATTTTAGATCTTGAGCACCCAATAAGCCCCTTCAAGCGGAAAGTCTAGATTTATTACACTTTGAAAAAAGTGTATATAATTAATTAATTATATAAATTGAAAACCCATATATTTTTTTTATTCTTTAATAGTTATTCGATTCCGAAAATGATGAAAATTATATTTACCATCAAAGACCAACCAGGAGCGGGGATAATTCAGGATTCAATATCTTTGGGGATTCTTCTGTCAGCCCCCTCATGCCAAGATCCTTAAACGATGTAAACAATATTGAAAATTTTTTTATTTTATATTTTTTTGAGTTTAACCATGATGTTAAGGTTAAATATTACACTTGAAAAAAAATGCTAGCCGACTTTGAATTAAGATTTTAGAATATTTCGTAAATCTTGAGATTACAATGATAGATGTCCAACTCTTTCTATCATCTATAAAGTAAAATCTCCAGGGGTGCGCATTATTTTTTGGCTGAAGTTTTGAGCTAGCCATTTTTTAAAAATATTAGTATAGTTCTTAAATTATAAACCATTTGCGAAGAATTTGGATCTTTCGCCAACAAAGAATACTCACTTATGTTTATTTTTTTTTTTAAACTTGAGATAGTGGAAAAATAATAAATAATAAATCAATACGATTATGTTAAAAATAAAAATGGATATATAATATCTATATTTAAAATTGGAATTCGCCAACCTCCATCAGAACTTTTAAATCATTTTTCTTTACACTATAAAGTATGAAAGGAGGCTACCTTTTTTTAAAGTATGAAAGGAGGCTACCTTTTTTTGATATAAACTTGTATTCTAATAACCAAAGAACTAATCCTTATAAAAGAATACACCTGATAAATATCACAATTATATCATAATAAATAATGTTATAATTTTTTACAAATAACACATAATTACTGTTTACAAAAAAAAAAGCGCGAAGAAAAATTACAAAAAAATTATCATGAAATTAACGGTAAATTGATTCCACCACAATTCGGGTCAGGTGATGATAATGTGGAAATTACGAATGGCTTCGATAAGGATAATATTTCTAATCCAATAGGTATCTTATTTATGTTTGTATAGGTTGACAGGGCCTTGGTTTCTGCTAATTTTGAGGTGGTGGGGCAGAAAGCAAAACCGCCATTGGCTTGCGAGGAGGAGGGTTGTATTATTCGCTTTATATAGATAAGAGATAATTTTTAATATAATATTCTATTAAAGAAAATTAGAATTTTCGAAAATAAAAAAGTTTAAATTATTTTAATTTTATTATAAGTACACATATAAAAGAAATATTTTGAGAGTTTTGGCTAATGGCATCAACCAATGATGTGAATGTAATGTTTTAATTAAAACCAATTTTAAAACGCATGTCTAAATATTAAATCTTTAAAAATTTTTTTTAATTAATAAAAATTTTATAATAATTTTGTAAAAAGTGCCAAAAATACAACAAAATTATGTATTTTTTAAAATTTTTTATAAGATTTAAAACTTATAATGTCCTATTATGTTTCCAAAAAAAAATGTTTATAATTTTAAAATTCTTTAATATAATCTAGAAACTTTGCGAAATGTAGGTTTGGTTTAAAATAATGACTTGATCAAGTCAAAATATCAACAATAGATTTTAATAGAAATTTAAAAAGATTCTGCTAGATCCCATGAAATCTTTCAAAAGGCTAGTGTAGGTATAAGGCAAATACTAAATATTATATACATTAGAAACTTACATTATGCCCCATTTACAGGCTTGGTCCACGGTGGTAAAATAGTTACATTTCCGGGCTGAGATTTCCCTTAGAGTTGGGTCGTAGGTCTCTAATTTACATTAATTATTAGGGCTCATATTTTGAAGCCCTATAAATCAAATTTATACATCGTCTCACTATTGTTTTTTGGTTGAAAAAAATTTACAAAGCAGGGCTTCAAGTCGTTAAGTATAGCGGTTCGGTTGCTAGTTTAAAATTTTATAAAGGTTATGTTCCATTTCGTTTTTTTTTGAAGAAATTTATATCGGTTTGGTTTAGAATTTAGTTCTTTTCGGTTTATTCCGGTTTTATAAATTTGATTTTTTAAAAAAATTAATCATAAACTATATATATAATCGATCTTAGAGAAAAATATTTTTAATTTATATTTTTATTTTTCCTTATTTAATTTAACTATGAAGATTATTTATTATCTGATTAATTAGTAATTTGCCTAATCTCAATTAAATTAGTATATAAAGTGAAAACAGTAATTGATATTGATTGATTGGAAGATAGTGGCAATTTAATTGTAAAATTTTTTTTAATTTGAAACGAAATCACGAATTTAAATTTCTCCCTAGGAAAATTAATATTTCAAATTTAGGTTAGGTTAATAATTTAAAACTATTTTTAAAAACCGTTATAAACTGGATCAAAATATTTATAAATTTATAACAGTTGTGCGTTCCAAATTCAAGTACCATAAATTTTTTGAATTTATCAATTATATAAAAGTCAACGGTGGACCTCACGAAATGCAAAACGGCTATCATGCAGTAGGGGTAAGTGATTCGGCTGATGATGAAACAGATTCAACTATTACCGAGGAAATAAATCACCACTATAAGCACGAATCTTCGATCTTTTATTCGGGTGAGAGGGAAGAAGAAAATTTTCCGACAAAATATGTGAACAGGGGCGGTGCTGACTCCGAACGCAACTACAAGAGAAACCAAAGAGGTATATTTATATGCCATGATCCATATAAGATTGAGAAGAAACAGTATAGAAAAATGCATTATATAGTTTTGGGAAGGGGTATTGAGTGTTCTAGAATTAGCCAATTTTGAATTAAGATTTTAACCAAAATAGTATTACGCAGGTCGCGAGATTTTGATAATATATGTTCAAATCTTTTGTTGTCATCTATGAGCAAAATCTCCAGAGTTGGATAATATTTTTTTGGGCTAAAATATTGGGGTTAGCCGTTTTTAAAAGTCGTATTTAATTTAAAACATTACATTCAAGAATCTTTATTATATTTTAATTTTAAACATTTATATATATCTATATTTTTTTTAAAAATTAAAATACGACAGGTATGTACAACCCTATCACAGGTGAGTCATATGATTGAGTCAGAAAATGTAAAATTCATTAATATATCTTTTTCCATCACTTTATAAAAAAAAATAATGATGCATTTTTTTAATAGTTTTTTTAATTAATTTTTTTTACAAAATATTAATGTCGTATATTTATTTATTAAAAGAATATTAAAAATTATAATTTAATATTCATTAATTTAAAGATCATTAAAATTGTTTTTTTTTTAAAAAAATAAAAATTTATTATACACTTTACACTAATAAATTTAAGAATAACAAATTAAGTATTATATTGATGACACAAATCTACATAATTATGTACAAAACTATATGTAAAGTGAAGTAAATTTTTCGCTTCGCTTATATAAACTCTATTGTAATTTTAGTTGTTTGTATGTAATATATTACATATACTACTATTTATACACTAAAATTTGAAAGAAATAAAAAGAAAAAGTTGATATCTGTAATTTTAAATTTTACCTTTGTCGTTAATTAATAAATATTATTTTTTACTTAATGAAAAAATTTTAAAATATTAAGAAGAAAATAAATTTTTTTTTTTTGTTTTTCTTCACCTTGAGCTATTTTTTACCTTGTTTTTTTGTGATATTTATTTTTATGGCGAAAATGCGAAATTAAATGAATTTATTCAATCAAAAATATTATTTCTAATCATTTGAAGGTCAATAAATAACAGAGGCTTATTAATCAATCTTTTTAAAAAGGATCGCAGGATCAAAATGTTGTTTGAAAATAGGATCCCGATACTTTTATGGTACTACATACAAAACAGACACATTCCTTTTAATTCGGATAAAAATTCGTGTGAAGATTTATATATGTAATTAGTAGAACATAGTTTAAATTGGAACTCTAGTTTATATTACCTAGGAATATTTAGATATTTAGAATTTTATTTTAAAAACGGATTAATAATTGGGGAGGGGGTGTTTGGATCTAAATATCCAAATTTACCAGTCATTTCCATTAAAAAAAATATTAAAAGAACAATGTCTTACAATTTTATAATTGTTTATTAATTGTTACCTAAGGTTTCCTTCAATAATTTTCGCGATAAACCAAAATTTACGCAATTAAGATGTATAAAAAATATATGGCATTTATATTTAATGGTTTCAAGGGCAGTGATTGCATTGTTTAGAAACAAGGTATGCTATGCAATTGATAAATTATATAATTAATTTGTTCTGTACTAATAACTTTTTTTATCAGTATACTTAATGATATTTATTAGCAATTGATTAAATTGGTAAAATTGTTTAAAAATACTCTATTGCATTGAAAATAAGTTTATTTTTTTTGGACATATTATTTGCCTTATTTTTTGTTGTCATTCGTTTTCGGCTTAAATCATTAAAGAAAATATTCGGTAATTTTTTAATATAAGCAATCAATTTAAAAAAAAAAAATGGTGGTCATTGTCATTTTGAAAACAAAAGTTTCAATTTTCTAATGGGCATAAGAGAATTAGTTTAACGAAAATTGTTATAGTTTTAATTAATAACTAATTATTCAATACGCGGAAGAGGTAAAAATGGCGTATTTTTTGCACTTTTAACCACTATGGTATATAAAAAAGTGATAAAGCTCAAATTTTATATATATTTTATGTATAACCCATATATTATCTTTATATATTTTTATCGGAAATGAAAGGGTTCGTCAGTAAATTTGTTGTTTTTTAAATATTGAATTAACGGAATAAACCCATATATATTTTTTTCAATGAAGCTTTCTAAAAGTCTAAATAAAATTTTGAGTATTGAAAACCGATCTCAATTTCTGATCCCAAAAAATAAGCAATTGATAAAATATAATATTAATTTATTAAACAGTTCTCAGATTTTGTTTTAAAATTTTAAATAACATTTCACTTTGATTTTTTTGAAAAAAGATTCTTCTTATGTAAAAGGATATGCTCTTTTTTAAAGGAGGTAACATCATTTATTAATATGATTCATATTTTATCGACGTTGATCCAGGGAATATTGGGTTCGTCTAGGATCGCGAATCCTTTGAACCCACTCCTTTGACAACCCGGATAGATAATATAATTAGAGTTTTGAAAAATTTAATCAGTAACTCTTTCATATTGGAATTGAAACTAGCTGTTTTAAACAAGGAAATTAATTGTATTTTAAAGAAATTGTGCCCATTCCTAGTCACAAGTGACTAGTTACAAGAGGAATTTGACATATCCTTAAAAATAAGTTTAGGTGATTATTGAGGTGAAAGCGCAATATATATATATCTGAGATTCACAAGCTTCGACTTTACCGACAAGCAAATCGTTTCCAATATTACTGTTGACTCAATTGAGAGGATCATTATAAAATCGTTTTTATTCCACTTTTGAATTTAATTTTGACTCGAATCCAGAAAGATTTGTGATTTATCTAATGGCTCTATCCAATTTACAAATACAATATCTCATAACTCCTTCTGATCTGAGGATAATCAAATTTTGATATTGAAAAATAAAATATTTAGCTAAATTTTATTCAGAAGGTATCAATGTATCTGAAGGTTAATTATTTTCAGAATTTAAAAGGTATGAAAGATTCATTTTAATAGATAATCTTCCAAGAAATAAAGTGGAAGCATTGCAATTTTTTTTTAAATATATCAAAATTACTATATATTTTGTCAATGATACCATTAGCACAAAGATAAATGAGTGGACCTTTTCTTCATTACAGAGAATAAAAACCTATATCAAAAGTATAACATCTTAAAATTAATTGAATAGACTAGCTTTACTTATCGAGATTCCCCAACATAAAACAAATTGTTAAAAAATTGGCGCAATCGCAAAGAAGAATAAATTTTCAGTTATGGACGATATTTGACTAACTTTTTAAATCATTATAAAATATTTAATTTTATATTTTTTTGTGATCTACATTCCGGTTTATATAGCTATAATATTTTTTAACCGTATTATATTCGCTTTTAATATTTTTTCCAATATTTTATTATTTATATTAGAAATTATCATAGTTTCAAATATGATTGGTCTAATAAATTTTATATGATGATTAGTTCTTATAAATTTTTAATGCTCCAAAAAAAATTACCCCCCCCCCCCCCCCCATAGAAAATTCTTGGCTACGCCCGTGTCAGAGTTGGGTAGTACTGCGAATACTTGTATCTAACATTATATGATCCTTTTGTATCTTGTACTCAGCATCTTTTTGACATCTTAAATAAGATACTAGTATCTGTATCTAAGATTCTTTATTCTGAAAAAAATCTTATATATCTTTTTCATTTTCCTGACAAAAGATGCACATACAGATTCTTTAATATTCATGTATAAAAAAAAAATTTACATGTCACTGAATATAACCTTGTTTTCTTCGTGTTGTATTAATTTACTTATTTGCCGCCATATTTTAAATATATTGACAACCAGAATTAGCTGGAAAATTAATAACTCACATTAAGATTAAAAAATACAACAACAACACGAAATACGTAAAGATTATATTTTATATATAAATGTAACTCGATAGAATACCAATTTTATATAATATTTTTTAATTTGTAGGATGATTAACACTAATGGTAATGAAGAAGCAAGAGTGAAAATGAAATTATAGAAATGAATTTCCCTGAATCAAATTCCAATCTATAAATTTTAGATGGAATTTTTTTTAAAATAATTTAAGTCAAAAAATACAATGTGCAGTGCAGGTTGAATATCAAACGTACACAAACAAAAAAATGATAAATGTTCAGCAAACTCTTCTACATTTTTTTGTTAATCCTATTAATTATATTATTTATGTTATAATGTAATTATATATATATTTTTTTAAAAATTAGGGATGCCATTTAGGTATTTAGGCCCAATATTTATATCCAAAAGAACATAGAAAACCAGCAAACTTAAAAAAATGATTCAACCCGGTAATATCAGCTTCATTATTACCATTAATAAAATTAAACCAATAATTAAACAAAATATAATTGATAAGTTGAGATGCCTATTTATTGTCAAGAGTTTACACCCTTTGAGCCTAGTTGAACAGCCTGAATTTATTATAATAATGGAAGGATTTATAATTTATATATGGATAATGATATTCTAGACATTTTTATGTTGAATCATTTAAGAAAATTTCAATGAGGTATTTGCAAAAAAGAATAGAGAAAATTTATGAGAATCAAGTAGATACTTTAAAAAAATTAATGGCTCAATCATATATCTGCACCAGGGCTGATTTGTGATCCATATAAAATCGCGTAATTTTATGTGAATAACAGCTCACTAGTAATATATCTTTTTAAAATAATTTTTAAAGATTACACGAGAAATCATTGAAAGGCAATCAAGAACCTTGGCAGGAATACATTTATTTGATAAAATTGCAGAGTTATTGGAGGAAGTCTATAGAGTATGGGATTTCTAATAAATTAATTGCTACTGTTAAGGATAATGCATCCAATTTTCTCAAGTCATTTACTAAATATAATATAGTAAAATTAAATGATCTTAACAAATATTTTGAGGATAACCATTAGAATTTAATGAAATCAATGATCGTTAATACAAAATTTTTCTAAATGTTTATCTATAGACTAAATAAACCAAATAATATTACCCAGATACATCATGCTTGCGTGCCACACTTTATCCTTTCTTTCTTTCTTTCTTTCTTTCTTTCTTTCTTTCTTTCTTTCTTTCTTTCTTTCTTTCTTTCTTTCTTTCTTTCTTTCTTTCTTTCTTTCTTTCTTTCTTTCTTTCTTTCTTTCTTTCTTTCTTTCTTTCTTTCTTTCTTTCTTTCTTTCTTTCTTTCTTTCTTTCTTTCTTTCTTTCTTTCTTTCTTTCTTTCTTTCTTTCTTACTTTCTTTCTTACTTTCTTTCTTACTTTCTTTCTTTCTTTCTTTATTGTCACAAAGTTATTCTTTCTATTATATCAAACTCAGAAGTAAGTAATGGGAAAATGTAGAAAATTATGGAACCAGGTAGCCTAACGATAGTATCTTTACTGCTAAAATGTAAGTAGATTTAAATGTATTATTTTAAACAATTGATTGTCCCATTTTTAAATAAGCGGA